GGAATTTGTGCTTCTGAGACAAAGGTAAAGAAATTAATAGCTTCTTTTAACCTGATGGTGGAGCAACATAGGGAAGACTGGTTTTGTTGGCTGTTGGCTATAGAAGGATGATGTAACTCTGATGCAGAATGAGGATTTACCTAGATGACCTCCAGTAGGTTTTCTGTGCTGACAAGTGAAAGAAAAATTAGATTAGGAAAATATATTCTACCCCTGCTGTTTCAAGTATTTAAGAGGAAATATTAAAACTAGCCAATGAGATACAATTGGCAGGGCAAATGGGTAAAGGAAATAGCTCTAATAATTGCTTTTTCAGGGAGCAAGGGCTGTAGGAGTTCAAGCTAGAGATTACACCCTAATAATAATGCCCAGTGCAGAATCCAAGTTAGTAAAAAATGTCATAGACTGTAAGTTAGTGCAGATGAGCATCCAGCCGCTTTTGCCAAAACCCATCTGTCCTAGATGCAAGATTTTACATTTGTCTTTGTTAACTTCATGAAGCAAGCATCTGTTGTCCCACTTCTCCAGCCTGTTGAGGTTCCCCTAAATGCTCGTCTGTGTGCAGGAACATGAGATGGGCTGCCATGCATGCTGCTTTCTCAGGCAGAGGGACAGCCTCTGCCATCATGCTATCCTGCATCCTCTTTCCCATTATCTACCACTACCTCTCTGCCAGCACTTCTCTTCTAGCTCTTCCAGTTCTCTTCCAGCTTAGGTCTGACGGGACTGCTTCCCCAGCCTTCAACAACCTAGCTTAAAGCCCTCCTTATAAGGCTGGCAAGCCTGTTGGCAAAGACATCCACGCCCCACTTTGTTAGGTGAATCTTCTCTCTACCCAACAGTCATCATTCCTCAAAAAGAGTGCTATCAGCATAAAAGCCTGGAGGAACCTGGAAGTGTCTGAAACAATACCTTGACATTAGTAGCATTTGAGTGTCTATGCTGATCTTCAGCCAGTGTCCCTCATAACAGGTCACTATCCAGAGGGTAGCAAGTGAAGAATTGCTGCTCTGGGTAATCAGTTAATTTTTCAGCTGATTCCCACTGTTCTGTTCCCTCCTCCTGCAGTGTAAATGAACGCCTGTGATCAACAGATCATGAAAATATTCATTTATGTTAATACTTTTCACATTAATCTTCATATTCATGTTAGATGTCAATCAAAGGTAGTGTCTATTCATTAAGTAGAACTGATAGCATCTTCATGCGCTTCTTCCTTTTATACCAGTTATTGCAGACACCCTAGCCTATTTGCTTTTTGATCTTTGCATTAAATTACTTTGTCCCAGGCACTCCTCTGCCTCTCATTTTCCATTATCTGTAGTTCTGCAACTCACACTTCTCTTTGTTTCTCTAGCAAATCTCTCATTACTATCAAATCACAGTCTATTCTTCTTCACTTGTCAGAAGACAAGTTGCTGTATCAGCAGGTAATGAAGCCTTGTTTTGTATCAGTTATGTCCTCCTTATCACAATAACCCAAGCTTCCCCTATAGGCTCCATGCCTTCCCATTACAATACCTTTAACTCCCTCCCACGTCCTACACAATATCCCAATATCCCCTTCCAACGTTTAGGCCTCCCTGTAACACATCCTGTTCCTGCCCCTTTATTTCCTAACCTCCCACAGTGAGTCATGTCCCAAATACTCATAGCTCCCCCATATCTCTTGCTTGACTAAGATAAGACATAATATGTATTGATAATATGCACCATGACCTATCGTGTAACGAGCTGACCGGTACTCATGGCCAGCCACTGTTCATGGAAAAACATAACGCACAGCATTGTTTCTTCTTTCTCTCATTTGGGAGCTAAATGAGCCTCTCTTCTCCCAGACCACTCATTTTCAGGAAAGGCGTGGGAATATTGTACCTCTGAATCCTCTTACTCTCTACTAAATTTGATTGAAGTTAGATGGTGGATTAAGAGACAGTAAGGTGGGTGAGAGACTAACAGACACAGGCAGTGCAGGTTGTGTAAGCAAATACATTTGTAGAGCTGACTGTGCTTTGTCTTTCTGTTAGCGTCACTCAGCTGTCATTACGTGATTTTTTTTTTCCTCAAATGGACAACTGTACCACTGAGAGGTAATCAGAAACTCTCTTTAATAAAGGCAAGGCCACAGAAAATTGATAAAGTGCTGGCTTTAGCCCAAACCTAAGCAGTAGTGAAAACCAGTTTCTGCCAGGCACCAGGTCAGTGACCTCTATGAAACTTGTGCAGTATTTAGGCAGGCAGAAAAATCACAACGTGTTATTTCAGCTTTCTAGCCCTCAGTTGAACATCTCCCTCCAACACCACTTTAATGACTTGTAGGAACAATTCATGGTAACTGTTACCAGCTCCAGCTAAGGTGCTTTTAATTCCTCGCTTCCCCTCATACTGGAGATAGTATATTCAGGCACGTCATGAACCCAAAGAATACATCTAGATATTAGTGCTAGGCTAGTGGGTACTGTTTAGATACAATTTTAGCTCCACTAAAAATGCATTGTGTTTTCAATTGTTAAGAGGACTATTAAATGTTAACTTATCTAAACATTGCATTGGACTCCCCTGTCAACTGTACAAACAGAAATGTTCTTTCTAGAGTTTGCTTGCTGAAGAGTTCTGCGAAACACCTAATGAATTGATTTGGAGCAGTTTCAGATCCAAAACTGCATTTTAAATTCATATTTTTAAAAAGACACTTGATACCAAAAGATTTTCTCCCAGTATTTGATCTATATCTCTATGGAATCAAGTTTTTATGGAAGTATCTTACTTGCCAATACTAATAGGCTAGGAAGAGGTGAGCACTTATGTATTTAGTCTCCTAATGATAGCTGATATTCAGATGAAATGTGTATAGTAAGAAAAACTGCCAGCAGCCTCATCCTAAAGCTTCTCTTGGATCCCACAGAACTTGGACTTCTGTGTCACATCCAGTCTTTGGTCTCCACAGGACTATGCAGACCAAATGAAAATACTGTGTGAAAGACAGTGAAGGCAAACACAGCATGAAATGGGTCAAAATAGTGGCAAAATATTTCCGAACAGATTTTATCTCCCAGAAAGGGAAGACACAGAGCAGCCAAATACAGAAACTGGCCTCATTTTTCACTCATGTCTCAGCTTCTAACATCCAGCAGCCATGCAGCTTCCTCCCTATTATGGCCATCCTATTTTATTTATTTGCTTTTGCCATCCCTACTCTCTTTAAAAATGAAAGTAGGAATCTTTATATACATATAAGCAATCGGCTCCCTCAGATCTAGTCTATATGCACAGACCGATCTGCAAGAGCACCAGGTGACGGTTGGCTTGGCTTCTCCCACAGAACGCAGCAATGGGATTTGGCTTCCAAGAGGCACCAAGTCTTTATTTAAGCAGGAAAATAGCGTTGCCCATTCCTTGCCTCAGAGAAGCAGCCTCTCCCGTACACCCCAGAGGCCGATTCCCAACAGGAGACTGTACGGCCACAGCAGAGGCGTTAGTGCCAGCAGTCAGAGGGGTCCAGGGCTGCGTGGGAGGGTGGCAGGGCTGCGTAAAGGAAGGAGTCTAGAGCAAGACCATCTTGTCTCCCCCGGACTGCAGCTAAATGGAGGGAAATTATTGCTCTGGATTGCATACAGTTCTTCTGGTAGCCCTAAGCTACAACTGGTTATTTTGGGGAGACGCCAGCCCAAACCACTCCGGTTAGTTGCAGCCCTTCTATGGGACGAGCCCTCGGGCAGCCACATTTTGGTAAAATACTGAGTGAAAGCGATGCTTGCAAATTAGGATCTCACGCTTCAGGACACACTATTTGAGTAACGTCACTGTGAATTGGACGGCTCAGCCAAACACTGGCATTACAGAGCGCAAGGTAGAGGAAAGTGCTGAAAGGAGGTTGTAGCAAGGTGGGGGTCGGTCTCTTCTCCCAAGTAACAAGCGATAGGACGAGAGGAAATGGCCT